TAATTATCTATGATTAGATTGCCTGATATTATGTGATTAATTAAGAAAGATATTAATTAGTGTGTATAATATGATCCGGATCGTACTGTACGATCAATATAGAATTAGTATCTTCCTACACGTTGGTCGCCAGGGTTTGACAGAGCACAATATATCATATGGTACGAGATTAAAGTGTATATTACGACATACATATCGTACAATACGAAGAAAAATCAGACAATATGAATTACTCAAAAATAGACACTCTCAAAAAAACATTTATATCTCCCCCTGTATGTGTGCAAGGTTGCTTCGTAATGATATCCACCCAAAAACAAGACATGACTCTAGAAAGAAAAAAGTTGTGTTTAAATTGAAAATAACAGACCCAGCCTTAAACTGTTCAAAATTACAAGCGAGAGACGGACTGAACTCCTGAAATGTTAGTACACAAAATAAAACACACTCACAGAAATAATACAATGCGTAGATTTCAAAACACAATAATATTTTTTGTCATCAAAACACAAGCACAATGCTTAGATTAGATCTGCAACATATTCAATCTCTTGTATCTTTTTCATATGAATAAAATGAATATGAGTTTACTTTCTGTGTTATCCATGTTTGACTAAATCTCTAAGTTTTAAGCTAATGATACAAACATATAGTAAGTACTAGTGTAAACTATTGTGCTTCAAATTCTTTCATAGGTATTTTTAATATTTATTGTTCTTTATTTAATGCATATTATGACCATCTATGTAATTATTATCTGGTGTGATATATAGCCTTAATGGAGGTGTATTGGAACAAATAACAATATAGAAATGGAATATTGACATGTCTAGACATAGGATATTAAACCTTCTAGGCTTTATATAGATAATAAAATTATATGAAGGCCTTAAAACCTCTCTTTTCATTATATCAAAGAAAATCTAAGCATATATCCACATCAAATCAAAGTAAGCACCAAACCACATCCGTGACTTGAATAAGTGACCTTACAAAAACAATACTCTCCTTCATTATCATTTTATATACTTTATGAGTGATTATTGATGTTTCCTTAAGTGAATTAAGAACAAAAATAATATCTATATTGAAAAAGAGGGGACATTTCTTTAGGAAATATTTAGCTTTATTTATTTATAAGATTATTCATTCAAATATTTTAAAAAAATTGAAATGTATAATAAAGCAGAGCTTTCATTTATTTATTTTAATTAAAAATTTTAATTAATTTATCGTCGAATAAAGAAGTACATGAATTCATTAATTTTTTTATGAATGAATATTAAATTTATTAATAAATAGTAAATGGATGGCCTATGTATTTCTTCAGAAAATAGTTATGTAAGAGGTTTAAAGTCTTCCAATTTTTAAAAGTATATTAATACTAGTTAGTGAAGTGAAGAATATTTTTTAAAAAACAAAAAAAAAAATGTATTAGTTTCTTGTAATAAGAAATGACTATTATACAAAAAAATTGTGAACTAAATCATCTAATGTTATGAAAAAAAAATCATGCTTCAACATGACATATAACTCCTCTAAAATTATAAATTCAAACCACATACATTTTATTTACTACATCTTTCAAGTAATTATGTAGGGGCTGTTTGGTTGGTAGAAAGAGAAATGGAGTGCAAAAGAAATATATTGATATTTTTTACTTTTTGATGTTTGGTTGGACTTAATGTAAATTAAAGTAAAATTCTATTATATTAGAAACTCCCCGCTAGCTATAGCTCATTTCATGCGCAAACAAAATCCCCTCAAATAGAGCGAAAAAGGAATTTACGTGGGCGCTAGAGAAGCCTGCGATAACCCTTGTTCATTTCTTCCTCCATTTGTCGTGGTAACCCTTTTTCTTTTCTTTGTTGATGTTCGACTTCACCTGCTTCTTGTGAGGTAGACTTTTGAATGAATTGCTAAATTGCTCCTTCATCTCCGTCGATGAAGTGCTGTCCCTATCGGATCTTCTTTCCATCACCTCTTTGTGTGAAGATGAAATTGGAATGGAAGCTCCTGTTTCCCTACTTCAATGCTTCAGCTCCCATCGGATGTAATCTGGGTGTCGAGGATTAAAATTGGAGTAGTTCGAGAGATGATATAGATACCAAGGAATATGATTATGATGAAGATGGAACCATGACAGAACATACAGCTTGTGAAGACCAGAAATTGGATGGTTCATCCATGGTTTGCCAAGTTTTGGAGCAGGGAAGTCACGAAAGGGTTTGAGACACCAACCCGATAGTCCTGTGTGTGGACGTTGAACTTCTTGTGGATGTTTGTGCTCATGAGCAGTGCTACAAGTTTGTGGAAATTCCGAATTCAGCCACCCCAAAGAGCAAAGCTTCAAGTTCGTGCTCTCTAGGATCTTATGGAAATTCCCAAATGGTGCAAAATTTAGTTTTTTTTTTTCGATTTTATTGTAATTTTTTTTAAATTTGTCATCAAGCTCATTTTTTTTTCAATTTTATAATAAAATTTTAAAATACACTACTTTTACTTTACTCTGCATATACCTTATTAAACAAGAAAAAATGTCTTCATGCATTTACTTTGCAGACAACAAAATAGACCCAAAGTATTCTAAATTCAATATTTATTTTATACTGAATTTACTTTACGTTGCTTTCTTTTTTTAAGACAACCAAACAACCCCATAGGTTTTTAATCCTTGCAATTAGGAAAAACTGCTCAAAATTTCTATTTCATGGTGATGTTAATGCTAAGAAAATGCATATCATAGGTTGAAAAAATGTTTGCAAAACTAAATGATTTACTCTAATGTCAGCTCTTCTTGACACTCGGTTTTAGTGAAAGGGGCTATATCTTGTGGTAATTGGTCTTTGCCTGATTTTATTAATCATATGATTTCTTTAAATATTGGTAATATTCTTATTCATATTTCTTCTAGCTCTTGTATTGCCTGGAATGGAGATCTGATACCTAAATTTAAAAGATTTCAAACTGATTTTTATAATGGATTTTAGATTTGGTTGGTGTTCTTATGTTTAGCATAAGAAATTTGCATTGTGGTATTCTTGCTTTGCATGGATGACTATTTTAAAGGGGTTAAAAACTTCAAATATTTTGCATAATAGGAATATTAATGGTTCTTTAGGATGTATTTTCTATGATTATCCTGTGGAATCTCATAATCATGTATTTTTTTAGTATGATTTTTCTTTTTCTTATTCTATCTAAGGTGATTCCCTGCATTTGACATTTTATTATTAAACCTACTCTTTTACAATGCTTATATTTTATTTCTGATTTAAAGGTTCCTAAGGATGCTAAAAATATGTATTTCATGACTGTATGTTGCTCGATTTATTTTTTAAGGAGCGAAAGTAATTTTTGGAAGTTTGAGGGTTTTTGCAATAGTTTGGATATTATTTACAGTCATATTTTCAGGCTATTTTTGCTAAGATTTCATCTTGGAAATCATTTTTGGAGGCAAGAGTTTTTTTGTCTTATGTTTGTTGTTTTGCTTTTTTTTTTTGAAGAGGTTTTCTGGTTTCTCTAGGTATTTGGGTGGTGTTGTGTTGATATTTGCTGCTAGAGTTTTTTATCTTATAGTTGATCTAGTTGTTTTTCTCATGCAATCGAAGTCTGTTTTTTTTTTCTAATGTTGGTTTTTTATTGGATTGGACAGCCAGTTTTGGACTTGGATGGCCTAATTTTTAAAATGTTTGGGCTCCTTAATTCAAATTTTAGATATGGTAGTTGATCGTGCTTGGAGTTCAGATTTGCTAGTGCTTTTGATTTTTGAGCTGATGCTCTTTGTGGGAGTGGTGTTCTGCTTTCCTATTAGGCAGTTGTTCTGTAGCGTATTTTTTTTTTATTTTTTATTTTTGGAACTAGGTATCCACCTACTGCAATCCCCGAAAGAACACTTGGCTGCGTGACTAATCATCGGCTGACCTAGAAGAGCCACCCATCCCAAAAATCTTCTGGCCCGCACTTGATTGGACTTCACTTAAATGGCACTGCCACTTAAGGGAAATCGAGCATGGATTGAGGGGGAGTGGGTTCCCTACCATGGCGTGGATTTCAGCATGGCAGAAAAAGTTGGTTGGCAGCTTTTCTTTTGGCTCGTCTGATGGCTGGCTTCTTGGAGATTTGTTCTAAGGATTTTGGTAATCTAATGACTAGTTTTCAAGTCTGGCCAGAAATGAATTCTGGTATAGAATTGGATGCCGATGTTTCAATAATTGGAAGGGCCTTTGTTTTGTTGATTAGATTTGCTTTGCTGTTTCGTGGCTTAGTGTATTGTTTGAAGACCGATCTTAAAGGATTGTGGTTTATTTGTTCTATTTGAAGAACAATCTTTCAGTCATCTTTTGTCTTTGCTTGCTTAGACTAAGGTTTTTCTTTTATTAGTTTAGTTTTATTTTTTTAGTTCTTTGTCGACAGGATTGGTAAGTTTTTGTTTTATTTTTTTATATTTCTTGTAATCTTTTTTCTATTTTAATAAAAATTGAGCAGGATTGTCCATAATTAAAAAAAAAAAAAAAAAAAAATTTTTTATAACTTTGCTTATTTAACCCTCCTTATAGTTTATAACTTCTGCATATTTAACGCTACTTAATGTTTATTTTTAAGAAGAATGACTTTTTTTTAGTAATTCTTAAAGTAATAATAAATTTTAATTTTTATAATAAATAATTGTTTTAAAAAATAATAAGTAACCGTCTCAAACCAAGGTAATTACTTGAGCCTCACATGATCTTTTTAGGTTCTCTATATATAAATGATCTCCAAGAGTACTCAGACAAAAAATTTATTTGAAATATTTTTTTTACTATTTTTTAAATTAATTTTTCACATAAATTTTTTTAAACTAAAAAATTTATTTATTTTTTGAACATTCAGATCATTTAAGACAAATTCACACATATAATGCATACACAAAAATTCAAACACAAAAACTCTTAATTGGAAGTTTAAGCTTTTAACCAATAGGGTAAAATGAACTGTGTAAAATTTTGTGCTTGATTGAGAAAGCCAAACAGCCTATCAGCTAGAGAAGAAGGCAACCCTACGGCCTCCGGATTCAGTAACGACTGCTGCGTTCCGATAACGGCGTTGGAATTTCCGAAGTCAAGAACCTCTAGGAGAACCAAGAGCGAGAGTTGAACTTCTGCTTTTCCATTCATCTAATAAAAGCTAATACAAAACTGAAAAGTAAAGCTAAGAGCCAACCGGCCCCTACCCAAAAAGAGAGAGAGAGCTAGGAAGCAGGGTAGAGACTGAGAGTAGGGGAATGAGGACAGCAGAAGAAGAGGGCGGCGGAGCTTGCGCTGGCGGGGAAACAATCAGCTCCGGCTACGGAGATGGAACAGGCCGGACGAAGAAAGGGGGTTGGGGAAGGGTGGGGGATTTTCAGCGGGATCTGGTGGCTGGGGCGGTGATGGGTGGATTGGTGCACACGGTGGTTGCGCCAATCGAACGGGCGAAGCTTCTTCTACAGACGCAGGAAAGCAACGCCGCCATCCTCGGCCTAACTGGCCACCCGCGCAAGGTTCGCTTTCGCGGTATGGTTGACTGCATCGTCCGCACTGTCCGCGAGGAAGGGGTCCTTTCCCTTTGGCGTGGCAACGGCACTAGCGTTCTCCGTTACTACCCCTCCGTAGCTCTTAATTTTTCTCTCAAGGTAATCTCCTTTTTCCCTTCGTTACTTTAGGAGTGCGGTCGATGGCTTAGTAGTTGTAGGGCGAATTTTTTTTCATGGAAGGATCATGTTTGGGTTAGCAAATGATTCTTGCTAGCGGAATGTGATTCTACGATGATCTTGTTCGGATATCAGCATGAGTTGATTGGTGCTTTTGCCCATGAAAAATATTAAGTGAGCGAGTTGCTTAGCGTTCACGTGCTACCGCTGTAAGATATTTCTATATTCTTGATTAACTGTGTTAATGAGATATGGGCTCTTTATGATTGTGGACTTTCGCACTGGGAAATGCCATTCCTCTATTCTTTAATACACAATACTCATCATGCATACTTAAATTTCTAGTTTTGCAACCGACCCGAATGGGCTGCTGGGAATTTTTGGATTCTAAATGTTTCATTTTCATTTGTCTTCAGTTTTTTCTAGAGGATCAACTTTAAAATTGGGCTAACTTTGCATAAATTTGTGCGAAGGCATTGTGCTAGAGAGGCTTGTCATTTTTTGAGATTCTTAATGAAATAGACCATGCTAAAGAAAAGGTCAGCTTATTGAAGCAAGGGCTAGTTTGTTAAAGGTACATATAAATAACTAGATGTAGAAAACTATGGCAAGAGAAATTAGGGGTATGTGGATGACAGAAGAATGTATTAGTGTTTGCATTGATTCATTTTCAATTTTTAGAGCAACTTATGCATTGATTCATTTTTCAGCATTACAACATCAATATTTCAAAATTATTTCAACATCAAAGTTTGACACTGTCTTGACATTGATGCTCGATGCTAGCAATTTCTACACCAACACTTGACAACTCATCTTTGTCCGACATAATCTTAACATCGACAATCAAAAGAGCAACTTATGCATTGATTCATTTTTCAGCATTACAATATCAATATTTCAAAATTATTTCAACATCAAAGTTTAACACTGTCTTGACATTGATACTCGATGCTAGCAATTTCTACACCAACACTTGACAACTCATCTTTGTCCGATGTCATCTTAACATCGACAATCAACGTCCTCTCAACATCGATGATAAATGCCCCTCGACATCGACTCCCGATACTTACTGCATAACATTAATGTTCGACTCTCAACATCATTGTCATCTCCTCTCTCGATGCCCGATACACTGCATTGACGCCCAACTCTCGACATTCTAATATTAATCATTTTAAGCACAACTTCTAGTTAAAAGACATTATTTTTAAATTATTTAAATTACTTATTCAATTTTTATACACAATTTTAAAATATAAAAATTATAATACTTTGTCCAACCTGTGTTCATGTCATATGTTTTCAATAATTGACGTGTCCCGTGTCCCTGTTGTGTCGTATTTGTGTTGTCGTGTCCGTGTTTGTACATCATAGGCCACTTGAGTCATATAGGCTCATGGGCTAGTGTGCTTTGCTTGTGCATGTGTGCACGTGTGTTTGCTCGCACACTTGCATGCCTTGTGTTTGTATGGTGGAGGTGCATGCATTTGTGAATATGCTTGCTAATACATTTTTCTTTGAAGAAATATGTACTTGTGTATTTGTAACTATAAATATATGAATGATATTATAGTGTCCAAAACAGAGTCCAAAGGAATCTACAAGCTAGTGGATGGATGAAACATGGCTTGCACATGTCTTTGTCATCCATCCAATGTTTAAAATTGCGTATTCGGGTATTGAGGCGTTTTTATTTGTGAGGCGAGGCGTAAGCCTCAAGGCGTTTTGAGGCGTAAGCCTCAAAATCAAAAGATTGCGTAAACATAAAATGATAAATGTTTTATATATACTAATGAGTGAATGCTATAAAACATAAAAAAACATAAGATATGAAGTGAAATCAAAATATCCCAATAATAAGACAACATGAAATATAGTTCAACTCAAAATTCTATCTTTTCCGAATCCCAATATTCTTTTCATTAACATATAATTCCAATTTCCAAAAATAAATAGCGATGACATATCACATAAGAACTCATAAGTCATCAGTACTGTCATCACTAAGGGGTTCTTCATTTGAATCATCAATATGATGAACTGCTCTCTCCCCTTCCTCCTCTCCTAGAAAGTCCAATGTCGGGTATTTACTTCAAGATTTATGTAAGTTTTAATATATATAGCGTGAGGCGTGAGCCTCATGCCAGTGAGGCGAGGCGAACCTCAAGGCGGGCCTCAACCAAGTTGAGGCGCAAGCCTCTTAAAAAAAACTCGAGGCATAAGCATCAAAGTGTTTTTTACTAGAATTGCGCAAAGGCGGACCTCAAGGCGAGCCTTATATTGCACAATTTTAAACCATGCATCCATCCAATGACATCACATACTTTATTTGTGCTTTTCTTTGGGAAAGAAATCATTTCCTTAAATTATATAAGTATTTTTGTGCATAAGTGGTCAAAAGTACAAATCTCAATTTTGTGAGTAGGAAAATTAAGATGCTAATTGCCATCTAATCATGCTAATGAGGGCATTACCAATGAGGAAAAATATTGCCTCAATTATAAGCCACATTGAATCTAATGATGGAATAAGAAATAAGAATGGTGTAACATTAATAGGAAAATCTTGGACAAAATTCAAGAGTCAAGATCCCTAATCAGAAAATCTGAAATTGATGGTGCTTGTGTTTATATAAAACGAGGAAGCTATGGAATCGGTTCTCGCTAATGGACCCTGGTACGTGAAGGGGAACATTATTGGAGTGGATAGATGGAGCCAATCGTTTTCTCCCAATTCGTTGAAAGGTATGACTGCACCGGTTTGGGTAAAAATGCCAAACTTACCTCTTAACTGTTGGAATCCTATAAATGTTTGTAGGATTGCCTCAAAGGTTGGTAAACCTTATTTACTTGATGAAAATATGTTTCAATGGGGGAGACGTGAGTTTGCAAGGATTTGTGTTCATATAAAACTTGAAGAATCTCTACCTCTTGGAGTTTGGGTAGAAGGAAAATCTGTTAAATTTTATCAAAAAGTTGAATGTTAAAAGGTTCCTAATATTTGTTTTGGTTGTGATAAAATTGGACATGACCAAATCAATTGCCATGAGAAGGTTGCTGTGAAGTCATCAAAAAGTCTAGATGCATATGAACGCAATGTGAAGGATCATTGTGTTATTCCAGACAAAGATAAATTGGTTGAAGCTGGTGCAGTTGATGACAGTGGATATGGACCTTGGATCCATGTCAGATATGGAAGGAAGAATTCTAATGGGATTGGCTTTCGTGGGAAGAAAAATGTTGCAGACAAGACTTCAAACAAGATTAGTTTGAATAAGGGGAACAAGCAAATATTTAGAAAGAAGATTGTTGATAGTGCTGAAAATGTTGAAGCAGATAGGCTAACTGTTCCTGTTGTTTCTGAACGGGACAAAGAAAAATCTCTAGAAATTTTTAAACCTGGAGAGATTATTGAAGTCCAAGACATTTCAAATACAAATAAATTCTCTATTCTTACTAATCTGGTGGAGGAAGATTTTTTGCAAACGGTTGTAAATGTTAAACCTAGAACAGAGATTGTTGAAGGAAATGGTGAGACAGATTATCAAGCCTTTTCCTGTTTCAAAGGTGATTAATGAAGCCTGTTCTTCTTAGGACTATGGTGGTAATGAGAATGAAGAATTCAGTGAAGTTGGTTCTTCAAACATCAAAATTAAGCTTGCCAAGGAGCTTAGAAGTCTTGGACCTATTAAGCTCTTACCGAGAGGAAGGAAATTGGAAAATGACTTAAAGGAAAAAAAGGGAAGCTCTTCCCTTTTTGTCCCATAAAAGCTTCAATTATGTTTTGGAATTTTAGAGGAACAAAAAAAAAAAAAAGGCTTTCTCTATACTTGGGAGATGGTGAAAGAGAACAATGGTTTTTTGTGGGCTTTTTGGAAACGAGCCTCAAATTTCAGCAATTCTGATATTGCAGCCTTATTGGGAATGAATGGGAGTTTTGTTCAAGTTCCTGCTGTTGGTTATTGGTGGGATTTTTGATATTATTGGAAGTTCAATAAAGCTTCATTTAACTGCTTATTTCTTCTAATAAGCTATCATTGGTGATCTGAAGTCACTGAAGATGGGGAAGTGGAGAATAGCCACGGTTTATGGTGGAAGAGAAGTGGTTCATACAACAATTTTGTGGATAATCTGGAGAGGTTTTGCTCAAAAGCAATCCCGTAATGGGGGTGATTTTATTGCATTTTGGCATGAAGATAAAAGAGGAGGAAGACCTTTTCGGTTCTCTCAGGGAGCTAGAGAATGAGCTCATTCTTGTCAAGATTGTGACCTTCATGAAGTAAATATTGTTGGACCAAGATTCACTTAGTTTATAATAAAAATGTAATGCTAGAATCTGGAGAGGTTGGATAGATGCTATGTAATCCGGTTGCTTTTGAAGTCAATCGGATGTTGGTGAGACATTTGACAAGGGTTGCATAGACCATTGTTCCTTATCATATTGAATTTTTTGGTATGTTAATTTTGCAGCTGATAAAATCATAAGATTGAGGAAGTTTAGGCTTCGTATCAGCATCAATTGGAGGTAAAAGTTAAGTGCTTGGTCCAAGAAGACTAATGGAGATAATGCTCAGGTGTTAAATCTTAAATTTTGTAGAACTATGAAGGCGCTGTTTATGGAGTAGACTAAATTCAACAATTTGAACAAGCATATGATAGCATGAGTTGGAATTTCTCTTAAAGGTGTTTTAAAATACTTTGGTTTTCCAAGATTTTCTCTAGATGGATCTTGGATATGTATGTAGAATTTTCTAAGTTCTCTTTGCTTATTAATGCGCAGTATTTCTGTTGGATTCATGCGGAGAGTGGATTTAGACAAGGGTGTCCTCTATCACCCTATCTATTCATTATGTGCTCAATTGTTACTAACCGGTTCAATCTAAACAGATAGCTACGGGTATCCAGATTGTAGGAATTGCCAAAGATATCACACCTTTATTATGCATATGACATCATTATCTTCTCTCATGCTAGTCTTAAAGAAGTTAGAGAAGTCAAAGAATCAATTTTAGATTTTTGTTGCTGGACAGGGCAGAAAGTTAATGCTGAATATCTGTAATGTTATTTGTAGACATGTTAAAAGAAGGAAGAGGAAAGCGTGAAAGAATCATGGCTTCAAAGTGGTTAAAGAATTCTTGTATCTAGGAGTAAAATTGGCATGAGAAGATTAAAAGCTGCAGATTTTATTTTCTTGTGGAAGAAGAGCTATGAAGCTTACGGCGATGTGGGGTAGCAAACATCTTTCTTTGGCTGGGTAAACTGTTTTGATCAAAACACTTGTTTCTATCTCAAATT